CCTGCCAAAATAAACTTGCCAGCTGCATAGACATTTCCAAACGCAATCATCCCAGCAAAACATTCCCAAAATAATGCCAATCAAATCCGATTACAATCAATACACAAATTTGGAAACAAATCCCAACAACCTCCCCCTTTGGCATTGTTTTGGCAAAACTAATAATAACAACTAAAACACAGTACTTTTTGTAAAGTCAACCCTCACAATACTTACTTTCCCTTTTTGACAAAAATAGGCAAAAAATTCTAGAAACTGTGCAACACCTTCCTGTAAATCGCTCCCCCTGAATTCACCACGAGTCTTACTCCCCCTGAATATGGTATTCTCCGATGCATATTGTTTTTATCACCTATCGAAAGCTTGAAGTGACCACTACCACAATACTCAGAGTTAATAGTACACGCTTTAAAAGAAGTATAATCCCCAAGACACTTTAAATCAGATTTCCTTACCCACACACGTCTAGGAAATCTATTTTGCACATTAATCATTGCTTTAGGTGTCCTTCTTGTGAATACAAAATTTGATGGATTAATGATCATACCTCTTTTTAAAGCATTCAAGTATTTGTAACATCTAGGTCTAATGTGGCCAGGCAAATTACAAAAGTGACAGATAGGAACGAACCTGTCTGTTGCTTGTCTTGTTACAATAGGCTTTGCAACAAACTTCTTGTTTGATCTTACCCGAGATTTCTTAAAAGACTGCATCATAGTACTGGTGGCTCCTTTCATAAAGACAGTCTTCCCAAAAATTTCTTGACCCTTGTAGCCAAGGCCTGAATAATCACCACAAGTTTTTTGTTGTGAGAGTAAGTGATCCAATTTTGATGTGCCCGAGTTTAGCATCCTTAAATTCTTCTGGGTCTGCTCCAATTCGAGTCTGGTCTCATCAAGCTTTCTTTGATGCTTTGTTGCCAAGATTTCATAATTTGTTGTAGCCTTCTTCAACTCATATCTTTTCTTTGTTAAGACACCAACTTCATCTTCAAGTGATTTGTTTCCTTTGCAAACAACAAACCATTTGCTGTACATCTTCTTATAAGCCTCCTGAATCTTCCCAAGGCTTAGGTCATCCTCATCACTGTCATCTTCAGTTTCATCCTCGAAATCTGTATCATTAACAATTCCACCAGAGGTTGTTGCAGACGCTGTTGCAACAGACTCTGTAACAACATTATTAGTGCTAAATAAATTTTTATCCGTGAATTCATTTCTTACAGTGAAAGCCACATAATTGTTGGTGTGATCATCTGTATCTTCTTGACTTCCATCTGAATCATCACTCTATGTAGACGCCATGGCAGCCGTGTTTCTCTTCTTGAGAGTGTTTGCATACTCCGCTTGAACATGTCCGAATCCTTTACATTCTCGGCATTGTATTCCCTTATTTCTTTTCTTCTCTTCAAACCGTTGAGAGTTAAAATTCTTCTTTTGCGAATTTTTGTTCTTTGAATTCTCTCAAAATCTCCCTTTCTTGTTGATCTTTCTCAGCATTTTATTGAAGTTTTTGGTGAGTAAAGTAAGAGACTCACTCAAGTCCTCACCTTCGTCGGTCTCATCTTTGGTGGACATATCATCATAATCTGCATTAAGAGCAATGCCTCTACTTTTCTTTTTATCCTTAAAGTTCATCTCAAAGGTTTGAAGATTACCTATGAGTTCATTAAGTCTCAGCTTCTCCACATTTTTTGCTTCTTCGATGGCTGTCACTTTGTAAGCAAAACGTGCCGGAAGTGATCTCAAGGTCTTTTTCACCAATTTGGCGTTAGAATATTTTTCTCCAAGGGCGAAGGCTTCGTTTGCAATATCACAAAGCTTTGAGTTGAAATCAGAAATACACTCATCTTCCTCCATACGCAAACGCTCATTTCGAGTTGTGAGGATTTGAAGTTTTAAGGACTTCACAGCATCCATACCTTCACGTGCAGTTCGATGAATATCCCACGCTCCTTTAGCGGACTCACATGTGGAAATCAATTGGAATTGATTAACATCCACAGCATTGAAAATGGCGTTCAATGCTTTTGAATTACTGTTTGCTAGCTTGTCCTCATCGTTGGACCATTCCTCTTCTGACTTAGGAACGATATTGCCTTTATCATCTTTAGTTGTTGGATGAGTCCATCCGGTTAACACATATCGCCATGCCTTCTCATCAATAGCTTTAATGAAAGCTTTCATGCGAGCCTTCCAATAGGGGTAATTGACACCTTCCAGAAGAGGTGGTTTGTTCACAAATCCTCCTTCTCTCATGACATCCATTCCTGCAAAATCAACTAGTACACCAGGACCTCACCAAAATATACGTCAGTAACCCTCTCTGATACCAATTGTAGTACCGGTTTTAGTCTTTTAACACTTTATAAGACAATATGAATAATGTAGAAACATAAAATAAAAGAACACGAGAGAAATGGTATCGCGGTTCGGTAACACCCTACTCCGCGGGGTCACGCCCAGATGATGAACAATCCACTAAGAACTCTTTTACAATTCAATTGGACTTAATCTACCCGAGACTCCCTCTCTACGAAGACGCCTATGAACTTGAAATTTCCCAATAGACTTGAACAGCGAGATCCCCTCGACTTTTTAACATTGGAATCCCTCAAACTAAGTTTTTATGCTGAAAAACACTCAAATCATCTCTTTCAATACAAATGCTCACCCCTGTCTCACAACCCAGCAAAAACTCATCAAGAGGTATACAATTACTCCCGAGACTCTTTCAATAAAAAGGTAGAAAGTTAAAGGCTTGACCACTTCTTGAAAAATTTGCTGAACCAAATCTGTTGTAGATCCTTGTTGCAACAAAACTGCAATATAGCTGTTACGGTCAACTATCTCAAAACCAGTCCGAATCAAACTCTTTTAATTCTGAAACCTTCCCAAAACTGATAAACGAACCTGGACACGTTCTTAGGCGACATAGGAAGATCATCCAGCTATGAAATCTCAATCAATAATCAATCAAATCAATTTTTCATCTTTGAATCAATAGTTGACTTAGAAAAATAGAAACTAAAACAAGTTTCTGGATTTTTTGAAACCTGCCAAAAGAAACTTGCCAGCTGCATAGACATTTCCAAATGCAATCATTAAATGTGACTGTTTTTTAGAACTAATAAAACTCAAATTTTAAACTCAGTAAAATGATAAACAATAGACAATAGTAGTACTACGTACACTTTTGCCTGCTTGACTAACGCGACCATGAAAATGAGGTGATATGAAATTTAAGCGAAGTAGTTGTGAGACAATTACTGTTGGTACTTTAAGCTACTTTTATGCTGAAGTTTCGTTCAATTTTTTTTTGTTTTTTTTCCTTTTAAATGATTCTGAATTCTGATACATACCCTTCGTTTTGCTAACATTGTCATTTCTCCAGTAATTTTGACGTTTCTGGCAGCAGTACCTTTATAATATGTAAGGTGTTCGTGATAAACCATTTTTATAATATGTATCATTTCTCTTTTCTTAAAACATAATGACCATTTAAAGCAAATTTTAAAGTGAAAGTAGTGCCCATCCTTGCTAGCACTGTCGTCCCTAGCTAATATGGACATTGTAAAATATTACTGCTTACGCATAGTTAATCCTACTAGTAGCCTCATATTATGTGACATAATAAAGACTTCAACCTCTTGCTCCGGGAAAAAAAAAAGACTTGAACCTCAAAAAAATTTCTGATATCCCATTTAATTAGGTAGATAATTCACTAATTAAAGAGACCTATATATTCTATACCAAGCTCCCAACTCTAATTTTATTGAATAGAGAAAGAAAGTTTACAAAAGATATAGAAATCCGACGTCGAAATGTGCCATTTGAGCGTTTTCCCTGTATTTTTTCATTGAAAGACAATTTCGTTTAATATAAGTGACATCGAAATCGTGCTAATGTTTCGTTTTCCTTGTATTTTTGGTCGAATGTTAATTTCCTTTAATAAATGGGAACTTCAATAGAACTTGTATTGTTTTCCCCTAAAAAAAGGCATGTTTTGGCAAAATATAATCATAATAACAACAAAAAAAATTAAATTACTCAAGTACTATTGACCCGTTCACTTCGCTGATTCGAGTTTAAAATTTGAGTTTTTCTACAGTAAAAAGCTCTCACAAACAATCACATCTAACTTTTTTGCTACAGTAAAAAGCTCTCACATAAAGTCACATCTCAACTCGAATTCTAAACTCGAATCAGCGAAGTGAACGGGGCCTTAAATGTAGGCAACATTTTAATATAAAATGTTAAGAAACGATAGGTGTACATATCTAATAATTAATAATTAATTTGCTTGTTATACCTAATAATATCTTATTAATTACTGGTTGCAGGAGTTCATTTAATATAATATCTAAAGTTTTAATCGATAGAGTACTGGACACGTAAAGAAGATGAATATTACTTCTAACCCATAGATAGATTCATTTTATGGCGGGAGAAACGCATGCATGCATATAGAATGATGAGAGCTAGCTAACGTTTCGCTAAAAATTAGATAAGATTATTACGTACAACCACACACACATGTCATGTGTGACAATATATAGACACATACGTATATACTAATTATATATAAACATTAGAATGACAGGCAGGTACAGTGATGCATATTATTGATGAGCTTATATTCAATTCAGTCATTTGTGAAGGCAAAACCAATTACGTAGTCGGTGCTGAAAAAACAAACAAATAAATAAAAATCATTTATTATGGTCCGGCAGAAGCGGTTGAGAAAAATAAATTTCTGATCAGAAGGTCTTCAAGTAATCGATGAATCAGTGGCTGCCAGCGTTTGGGTTGGCATTGGTTGCGATTCCTAATATTCGGTACGCATGTGCAAATATGAACATTTAATTAGTTTGGACTTTTTATATATACAATGTTTGAATATATATATATATGTGTATGTATGTGTCTATATATAGGGGTCTCCAACGTATCAAAGGCATACGAAATTGAAGAGGAGATCAAGAGAAACAAATAGCTAATATGGCTACTACTCCGGGAATCCTTACTGACTGGCCATGGAAGCGCCTTGGAAGCTTTAAGGTACATTTCATTTTGCTACTAAACCCTAACACCACTCCTATGCGCGCGCGCATATATATATATATATATATATATATCATATTTGAAAATCGATACTCAGACATTCAGTCAACCAAAAAGGGTAAGTTTATTCATGTTCAGTTCACAATTGTATAAAATATACACATCGCTTGTTGTGGTACTCTAAAGGTGGCTTTATTCAAGAGGGTGCTACTTATAAATACACAAAAATAAGCACTGATATAGTCCTTTTTTGTGTGTTTTGGAGTAAAATGAAAAATCCTTTTTGTTAATTCCTTTTATACGACAAAGTTCATTATGTTATTGCCATAAAAGTACACAAAAGAGAAATTATGTCATGACAGCAGGTTATTAGACACACAGCATAAAGATTGTGACTAATACACGTTGCGCATGCATTGATGAGTTGCGGCTCCTTCCGAGTATCATGTGATAGAGTACTTAACTTATTTTTGATTAATATATATTTTTTCAAATGGTATAGTTATTTGACTAAAAATGATATTAATTAAAAGTAAAAGAAGAAGTTTAGACCCATACATTTTAATTAAATTGTATTTGTCTCATTATCGTACGCCTACTTTTTGATGATAATACCTAGTATTGAACCTTGTGGACCACAAATTGGTTTTTGTCAAAGAAAAAGAAAGTCTTTGTTGAAGCAAAGACATTCTCATGCCCTTTTCATTAGCAATAAATATTTTTTTTGGTTGAACATTAGCAATAAATATTGTCATAGCCAATATTATACTCTTTTGTCACAACTCTTTTTCAACAAAAGCTTCTCTAGTTTCAATCGCGGCGACTATCGTGATTAAAATTACTCTTCTGAACTCACATAATTGATAGGATTCCTCTTTCCATACACAATGCATAGAGATAGTTCAGGCCTGACCTATAGACCCTGCTGGATCTTTTAGATCTACAGATTAGTTTTTATTTTTTTTATTTTTTATTTTGGTCCTAGCTTGAGTTAGTGCCTTGCTAGTTACTGTTTCTTGTGCCTTTGAGTTGTTTTTATTATTGTTGACTCTTTGGTTGTTTTGTCTTTCGTTTTTATCAATAATATTAGAGTTGGGGGTTTGGTAAAAGATAAGTTGTTAGAGGATGCCAAGTCCAAACTTAGTTGGGATGTTTTGAGCAACTGTAATATCAGTTATCATTTATCGTCACTTATTTTAAAAAAAGAAGATTTTTTTTTGAGAAATTATATTTTGACTCTTTGACTAGAAGCTCTTCTAGAGAAAATTCTTTTGAAAAATTGACAATATTTTTCAGAAGTAGCTTTTATATATACTAAAAAAGTCAAAAGGCTACTTAGACATTGTTATGTTGTTGAAAATATTTATTATAGTTGCATTATTGGTCAGAAATTATTATGATCAAAAGCGCAGGTCGACGTACGTTTGATAAATTTTCTTTCAAAGCCACTATAAATATCAGAAGCAGAATTTTAGGTGTTTGGGAAAATAGACATACTTTAAAAAAATAAATTTATAGTTTTATTTTTATTTCTAATTTGAAACATTCATAATATTTTAGACCGAAATACTATAAGAAATATAATATAATTTTGTTATATGAAATATTACTGACTTATTGTTGTTAATTTGAATGTTTTTAACAATTACAATAATAAAATAAATGCAAAATTTCGGATTTATTGTTATTACTTGCAAACATCTTGTTAATTATTAAAAATATTTGAGTAAATTTACTATAGTATATTTTGCAACTTTTAAACAAATATTAAAAAAATACTATTTTAATTTTATAATAGAGAGATAAAATGGGCAGATTGATGATAACAAAATGAACAATAACAACATAAGCTTCCATGACAATCTCTGATCTACCTCTCAAACTCTATTGTTGGGCGACAATTTTTAAAAGTTGATGGACAAAGAGCGTTTACCCAACACCCTCACATGTTGTAAATTATCATAAAAAGCAAAGAATAACGTCTAAAAGCAATACAAAACGAACCCAAAAGCATCTCTCAGAAGCAATACCAAATAAATGTATTGTTATTGTTTTTTTAAAAACTTTTTTTTATCTCGGAATTAAGTTCTGTTCCCGCTTTTCATCCTTTTAAAAACAGTTTAGTCTTTTTTTTTTTTCATTCACATATATATAGCAAGTCAAAGAAATAATTATCTCGAAGAATCATTAGGAGTTTTGGTTCTTAAAATTATTTTCTTGAATTTCTTCGGACCAGTAGTTCGTGTGAATTAAGATCGTATTTTCTGCTGGAAACGATGTAGTTATTATAATACTTAGCATCATATATATATATATATATATTCAAGAGAGAGACTTGTCATCTTTCCTCATCTTCCCTCTTCTTCTTTGGAGAGCGATTCACAACCAAATTTGGATTAGTTTCTCTCGTTACCGAACAACCAAAGGCAATAATCGAATCGTCGACAAGGGTCTTGAATTCGACCAAGTTGACAGAGAGAGAAATTGGTCAGTTTTTGCTCATGCATATCTTACTATAATTAATTAATATACACATGAACATCTGAACTATGTACGATTATATATTAAATTTGCATATCCTTTTACTAGTTTAATTAGTAAGCTAAATAAGCTCATGCTCTCGTTGATCATATATATGTGTGTGTATATATGAGAGTATATATTAAATTTTGCATACTAGTTTAATTAGTAAGCTCTAGCTCACTTTTTATTTCTATGTTTCAGAGCGGCATGTCATGCTTTTTAATTTTTTGCTGGACTTACAATTTTCTTTTGGGATAAACTTATTATTTTTCTTGTTTTCTTTTTCTTTTTTGTCGTAAATGAATTAGAGTAGAGGATTTGGTAACCAAAAATTGAGTGCAATTGTAATTAATTACATTTTTTTTTTGTTTTTGTTTGATAATTTTGACTTCTAACAGGGATGACCAAATATTGTTGAGTGGAATCATAATCTACTTGACAAGCCAAATATTGCCGGGAGGCTCAAACCTACCAATGTGGAAGACAGATGGCGTAATATTAACCATTCTTCTCCATGCAAGTGTCGTGGAGTTCCTTTACTATTGGCTTCACAGAGTACTTCACCACCATTTCCTCTACTCTCGCTATCATTCTCATCACCATTCCTCTATTGTCACGGAGCCCATTACCTGTAAGCTCGACCTATAATACTTTTTTTTCGGCTAATTATGTCTATTTGTTATTTATCTCTGGAGAGATTGGAATTAAGGGGAAGGTCTCTTTATAAAACTACCGCAAATCTAAAGCTTGAGGGCCGTTCAGTTCGCTAATTCGAGTTGAAATGTGATGTTGTGCGATAGCTTTTTACTGTAGTAAAAAAATTAGATGTGACTGTTTTTAAAAGTTTTTTACTGTAACAAAACTCAAATCAGCGAAAAGAACGGGGTCTATTAACTTATACCGGAAATAATAATTATTAAAGAATATCACGCAATGTCATTACCAGTCAATAACTGGCATGATACTGACTCGTAACTGTCAAAATCTACGTTGATAGCACCTTCACATGGTATGTTCACTTTCAGTTGGAGTCACTTTAAACCACTAATCACAACGCGCCACATACCCCATACATGGTACAAACTTTTGCATTATAATGAGATCTTCCGTTGACACCAAAATATATATATATATATATATGTATGAGATCCGTGGGATGTTTGTAACTAAGGCTTCGTTCACTTCGCGGATTTGAGTTTTTAATTTGAGTTGAGATGTGACATTTTCTGAGAGCTTTTTACTGTAGCAGAAAAAAATTAGATGTGATATTTTCTGAGAGTTTTTACTGTAGAAACCTAAAACTAAAAACTCGAATCGGTGAAATGAACGAGACTTAAGAGTTGGAGTAAAGGACTCTTCAACATAATTTTAAAAGACTTGAGAATTTTTGGTAGAAATTAATGAACCTGTATAATTGTGATTTTACTCTTTTCTCCGATTATCAAAATTACCATTCACAACTAGCTCTTCTTGTACTAACTAATGATATATATATATATATATATATATATATATATTTTTTTTTTTTTCCTGTGTGAGCAGCTGTAATTCATCCATTCGCAGAGCACGTTGCGTATTTCATCCTCTTTGCAATACCCTTGCTAACAACAATATGTACAGAAACTGCATCAGTAGCATCGGTTGTTGGTTACATGACTTTTATTGATTTCATGAACAATTTGGGTCATTGCAATTTTGAAATAATTCCTAAGTGGTTCTTCTCTATCTTCCCTCCTCTCAAATATCTTATGTATACACCCACGTAAGCTTCAAACCAGCCATACTATCATTTAATGATTATATTTAATCCTTAAAATGGTCTCATAAAAATTTTCACTATATGCCCTTGCAGGTTCCATTCTTTACATCACACTCAGTTTCGAACCAATTATTCATTGTTTATGCCACTTTATGATTATATATATAGTACGATGGACAAATCTTATAGTTGTCTATATGAATCATTACTCAAAAGAAGGAAAGAGCTGCCAGATGTCGTACATCTAACGCATCTAATAACACCGGGGTCGATTTACCATCTACGGCTTGGCTTTGCTGGATTGGCTTCTAAGCCGTACGTATCAAAATGGTACTTACGGTTGTTCTTACCTGTGACGTTTTTGGGACAAATGGTATTAAGATGGTTGTATGGTCACTCGTTTGTTGTCGAGAGGCTTCGTTTCGGTAAGCTTAAAATGCAAACATGGGTTGTACCGAAATACAAGATTGAAGTAAGTATTACTCTCCATGGATCCTAAACCTTAAAGTACTTAACACTAAGACAACTAATATTGATAATATATACATATGTATATGCATATATGTTTCAGTACTTACAATGGAAAAATTCATCTATCAACGACTTGATTGACGAAGCCATACTTAAGGCCGAGGAGGACGGGGTCAGAGTATTGAGTCTCGGTCTCTTGAATCAGGCAAGTACATACTACAGACATACATACATATATATAGTTCCATATTTTTTTTTTCCAATTTCAAATTAATTCTATGTATTTAATTATAAAGTTAATGCCATAATATATGTAATATGCGTGAATGTCTATACAAAACGTCAAATTGCATATTGGAGTACATCTATGTTTGTTATATATGTATATGTGTGTGTGAATATATACCCACCAAAAGTTAAGATAATGAACACCACTGAGAATCTAATAATGAAATGGTGTAGGATGATATATAAATTAATTGATGTGAGTTATTTTTTGCTCTATGTATGTAGAAAGTTATATCGTGTTATATGATTTTTCTATACAAAAGGAAGAAAAATGTTCAACAATATTGTTCTTTAATTTTTTCTTTGATCTCAATGCCAAATGTTTTTTTATCAATTTTTCAGAGTATGGAATTAAATGCATATGGCGAGCTTTATATTAACAAACATCCTCAGTTAAACATGAAGATTGTAGATGGTAGTAGCCTTGCGACGGCTGTAGTACTGAACAATATTCCAAAAGGGACAACTCAAGTTCTCTTTAGAGGAAAACTTAATAAAGTTGCTTACGCAATTGCTTTTGCTTTGTGCCAAATGGGTATCCAGGTAATATATATACAAGTGTAGACCAAATATATATAAATATATATATATATATTATGGACTGAACGTAATTTTGGCAAATAATTATATCACGTATATCTATTCAACTGATTCCATATCTCACATAACAATAAAAACATCCATCACTTTTATTAAAACTTCATTAATCGAAGCTTTTAAATTTTTAAAATTAAAAGTATTAAAATTTTCCTCTCTTTAATATATAAGAACGCTGCGGAAAAAGGGTTTTAGCAATAAAATTAAGTTGCAGAATATTTTCTTATTTCTTATATTTATAGTTCCATAACTGCAACAAAAGCAACTTTTATAGTTCAATCAAATGCGTCATACGAAGAAATCATTTATGGAAAAAAAAAATAATTTGGCTATAAAAAGAGAGCAACATTTTTATTTTATTTTATTAATGGCGGTATATGTGCACCTGAAAATAACTTAGAATTACCGGTACACTTGGATGTTGGTGCAAACTTAAAACATTTTTTAAGGTACACAAGCATTTTAATATATATCTTGAGTATTATTTTATATATTGTATCAACTAATTGACGTGGGCTGAATTTAATTATTTATTCAGATAGCTACATTGCATCCCGACGAGCACGAGGAACTTAATAAACACTTAACTGATGCCAAATTTGCTTGTAATTCAGTTCTCTCAAGATGTTGTTCTCATAAGGTAATATAATGTTAATTGCTTCATATTAGTACTTCTTTTTGTGCACACACATTCTAATTATGATTTGAGAACAATTCATAAGAATAATGGTATTAATTAACTTATAAAGTTTTTTACAAATTGATGTCTGGTAGACTATATATCATGTTTAGCAATGTTTCTGTTTTTAGAAATTTTTACTTTTTTAATTTTATTTTTAAAGAGTTAGACACCTTAATTCTATACTATTTAGAGCAAAAAATTTATAAAAGAAAAGGGAAAAAAATTAGAGTGCACAAAAAAATTTATAGTGATTTACCCTTATATGAGAGATGTGTCCACTCTCAGTCGTCGTAGACATTCACTACGATGAAAAAGAATATTACAAGAGAAAATCATACATATTATTGCTGCTTGGATCTAATATGTGTATATGCCTGTTTCAGATCATATTGATTTTAGTCTATTATTATCATTATAATATGTAAGCAACTCTTCGTCATGGTTTTCAAGGCTATTAGCGTTATAGTTCTTCTTCACTTCTTGAATGCAAACTATGCTACGAAGCGGTATATATAGTAGAGCAAATATAATAATAGCCACAAAAATATAAAACTTAAGAAAAATAACGACACAAGTTGCACTTCAACTACTCACACTAAACTCACGACACCTAATTGCCAACATAAAATATCAAGCATTATTTTGGGCTTGTGTATTTTGGCTGGTGATGATCTCTAACTGCCTTTCCCTTTGATATAAATTAAAACGCGTGTAATTTCTATAGTTAGAGGAGGAGATCTCTATCTATTCCTAAAACTGTATTAGTAAATGTACATAATGCAGCGGACGTAGACTTGAACGATTAATATTCACCCTAAATCCCTTGTTCATCTTATGGTGCATGCTTTAGAGGGTTGGAATAAGCATGAATGCGGCTTTAATGGTGCTAATATTGCTAACGACATTACAAAAGTTTGGGAAGCAACTCTTCGTCATGGTTTTCAACCTTTAACTATCTTTTCCTAAATGGCGTGTTAATTTTCTATTTAATAAACAAATTTGTATTTTTGAGAATTTCAAAACGATGTCGTAATGGTTATTTGGCTACCTGTGTGTGTCCTGATAATTGTTACGATCTTGTTGTTATCGAGTAATTTAGAAAATCAATACCAAATAAATGTATGATTGCATTTATTCTTATCTAAATAAGTATTTTATGATTGCATTTATCCAATAAGATTTTGATAACAAAATCATATTAGAATTCTAAATTAAAATTATCCACTACTTAAATAATATAATTAAATAATTCAATCCAAATTGAACTAGTAATTATCTCATGTGATTTTTAGAATTGATGACTATTCCACACCCTGAATAATTAATAATTGGCTTTCGCGATAATTATGATAATTATTAGAGACCTCACAGTTTCTTCAAACACCATTGTCCATTTTCGAAGAAACATTATTGTCCGTTGTCCAATGCCCATCCCCCCTCAACACTACACAAGAAAGTGATAAGAAACTACCCTTAAATTACTACGAAGCAGTAGAAGGATTAGTGGAGTACATGTTTAGTCCAGCACAATGATCGATTTCAACATGTGCCAAGAAAAAAAAAAAAAGAAAAGAAAATTACACAATTGTACCTGCATGCTTAGGTGGATTTAGGGAAAAAGAGGTCATATCGGTACACTAAAAATTTCTTCCTTTCGATTGACAAAATTTGTAGTTTTATTATTATCAGGACCAAGGACAGATGCATTATAGGATCAATAGAGTTACGTGCCCCCACTGGATTTTTTTTAAAAAAAAAAAATTGCACTTCTATATAGTGTTTTGTTTTTTGTTTTTCCTTCAATTTGCTCCCACTCAAAATATATATATTTTTTTCACAATAATCCATGGCTGTTGTGAAACGTAATTTTATCCTTATCACAATCTCTTTCGGTAAATTCTCCTCTTTTTTATCTGTTCATATTTTCGCACTTAGTTTTTTTGTTTAAAAAACTTTTAAGTATCTGTTTTTCAAACTATTTATTGTCTTAAACAACTAGTAGGTTATACTTATTGATTAAATGCTATGCATACGATTAAGTACAATAAGCATATTTACATTATGTCGTTTATATAATACTTCACTCACAATATCATTATTGCAATAAGCAAAACTAAAACAGAGATTATCCAATATTATTTTTGGGCTGTTTTTTAAGTTGAAGATTAAATATACTCGAAATCAAGTTTGACAAAAACAATTAAAGAAAAGAAACATTCTTATTTTAGAAATTCAGTTTTTTAGTATCGAATTTTAGTATTGATTAGTACCCCACTTAAATAAATTTCTGGCTCCGTATTCACTGATGAGTGCGTGAAACGATTGAAAGTTGTAAAGACGAAGTGATTTATGACAAACAAAATTTTAAAAATAAACACATTATTAAATTCGAAAGGCCTTTGTTGAACACAACACTATTAGGCACACAAATATTTTTATTATTATTAAGACCACTCAAAGAGAAGATTTACTCACTCAAATATTACGGGCTCGTTCAGTTCGTTGATTCGAGTTGGGATGTGACTTTATGTGAGAGCTTTTTACTGTAGTAAAAAAGTTAGACGTGATTGTTTCTGAGAGCTTTTTACTGTAGTAAAACTCAAATTCTAAATTTGAATCGGTAAATAAATGGGGTCTACAACTCTCAAAGACACTACACTCACACTTACAACTCACCGAACCACTCAAGGCTATTAGCGTTATATTTCATCACTTCTTGAATGCAAACTATGCTACGAAGCGGTATATATAGTAGAGCAAATATAATAATAGCCACAAAAATATAAAACTTTAGAAAAATAACAACCACACAAGTTGCACTTCAACGACTCACACGAAACTCACGACACCTAATTGCCAACACCTACTCACACGAAACTCACGACACCTAATTGCCAACACCTACTCACACACCTACTCACATAAAATATCAAGCATTATTAATGTGTAATAATGTGTACAACGT